GCCTCGTCACCATGAATCAGTCTTTGGATATATTGGCGGAGAACATCAGACAGTGTCACAGCAAGATGGAACGAATCGTCATCAGATCATAGCGTAATCATTAAAACTTTTTGGGCGTCTATTACCCTTTGTGTCTATCTAAGGTGTGCCTTCTAGGACGGTATACAAACCTGCGTCTAAGCCTAGCGCACCATTCCAAAGTCATTCATTAACCGATCATCATCATCGCTTCGCTGTAATTTTCCCTGCCCAGAACAAGTCGATAGGTAACGCCGCCGATATCCCTTAGTTGACATACTTGGGGATGGTCTCCATCACACCATCCTTGGTGATGAGCTCCATAGCCTTGGTCACCTCGTCCAGGAAGCGCTGATCGCCTCGCAAATCGTCACCGAACAGCTCTCGGACGCTGAGAATAGAGCGGGGATCCTTGCCGCCCTCCTTGGCCAGAGCTTGAAGCTTCTCGCGCATGGGATCGTCAACCTCGAAGGTGTTGCCCTTGTCATCAACTCCTTTGATGTAGATGAACCAGCCAGCAGCGACGAAACACAAGCGGCGGAAGGGGCCAGTAACCCAGATGTTCTCGGCGATGGAGGGCATGATGAACTGGGGGATCTTGCCGGAGGCGTTAAGAGCAACACGAGGAATCTGATCCATGATGGTAGGGTTGGAGAATCGCTCCATGAGGGTGTTGCAGTACTGGTCGATGTCGACGCCGGGAATCTCAGGGAGAAGGGGCTTGACCTCCTCTTGCATCATCTGCCAGACAAACTTGCGGTAGATGGGGTGCTCCATGACCTCGTGGACGTACTTGAAGCCAGCAAGCTGTCCGGGGTAAGCCATGGCGGAGTGACTGGCGTTAAGGAGACGGAGCTTGTGCTTCTCAAACTGCTCGACGTCGTGTACATCATGGACAACCTGGACACCGACCTTCTCGAAGGGAGGGCGGCCATCGGCGAACTTGTCCTCAACAACCCACTGCATGAAAGGCTCGGTGACAACGGGCCAAGCATCCTCGATGCCGAAGTTCTCAGCGAGCGACTTGATGTCGTTCTCAGAGGTGCTGGGGGTAATGCGATCAACCATGGCGTTGGGGAAAGCACCCTCCTCGTCGATCCACTTGGCAAGCTCAGGGTTGCGGAGCTTGGCGAAAGATGTGAGCATGTTGCGGGTGATGGTTCCGTTCTTCTGCATGTTATCGCATGACAGAACGGTGAAGGGCTTGCGACCCTCAGCGTGACGTCTAGCCAGAGCGGCGTAGAGGAAGCCGAAAGTGCTAATGGGGGCGTTCTCATTCTCGGGCTTAAGATCGTGCTGAATGTCGGGGTGCTCGTCCTTCAATTGATGGGTGTTCTCGTTGTAGTAGTAGCCACTCTCAGTAATAGTGAGAGAAACAATACGTGTGTCGGGATGAGCCATCTTTGCGATGACAGCCTCACGGTCATCGGGGGCGAAAATGAAGGAGTTGATGCTGCCGACGACATCGGCGAAGCTGCCCTTTGCGGAGCGCTCAATGACTGTGTAGAGATGGTCTTGGGCGTTGAGGACATCGCGCATGGCGGCATCGTTGGGTCGCAGGCCGATGCCGCAGATGGCCCAATCGCGCTCACCGTGCTTCTCGAGCAGATTGTCTACGTAGACAGCCAAATGCGCTCTGTGGAAGCCACCGACTCCGACGTGGACTATGCCCTCCTTGAGGGACTTGCGGTCGTAGGAGGGGACCTTGACCTTCTGATCTCCCTGCTGTGACGCAATAGAGGAGAGGTTGCTGCTGTTGAGCTTTAGGCGTTGTGTCATTTTGGCGGTTGTGATTGTGATTGTGTGTGGAGGAGGAATGAGAGAAGGGAGGAAGATGCGACTGAAGAGGGTATCTAGGGGTAGGTTGAGAGGAGGTGTTGGTTGGTATGAAGAGGTGAAGATGAATGTGCAGATGAGGAGAGGGAGATGAAGTTTTGATGTTATGAGGAATGAGGTCACCGCTCAAATGCAGATGCTGACCGCCGGGTTTTGTGGTTTCTTGGATAAAGAGATAAGGAGAGGTCGGAATAAATTCGGGCAGCGAAAACTCGAACGTTCCCCCGTGTTCGGTGGACTCGTTTGCTCAATTGATTTTGTCGTTTTATTTTTTTTTGCTTGCTTCGAGGTTGGCGTTGTGTGGCTAAAAACTTAGTGGAGTGGGAGCCGTGGATCCGCGGTGAGACCGGGCTTTGTTTTGTTTTGTTGGTGAGGGGAGGGTGAGGTCAAAAGGCCCCAAAGATTATGGGGCCTGTGACGTTAAAGAGCCCCATAGTTTAGCTTTTATCAGCTTATCACATCAGCGCTTGATTCAATCCCAATTCTTGCTGCCTGTCATGGCAGTTCTTTAGTGGCGAATGATGAAAGAGATTTTCATCATGTTTTCTTTGTTTCCAATTCTGCCCTCACTGTGCACTGCCAGGTGCAGCACTGCATGCAAGCAATGCCCCGCAGACGCCGCAGAAACTGATCAGCACTGCACACGCCGTCATCGGCAGAAAAACTTGCATCATTGCTGCTTATCAAGACCTCTTATCGTGGAGCGATAGCTAAGGTAAGGAACCTAAGAGCTACAGTGGGTATCTTTCAAACAAGCTCAGGGCTCAGGCCACCTACACCTTGAAGGTCAAGCTAAGCATCGTGGGGTTGAGTGTTCTTTGGGGTAGAGCAAAAAAGTCGGCATGTCCAGGTGACCACTTGATCCATGCCGACATGAGCCTCATGGACGCGGCTCTCAACGCGATAGGTCCCATGACCTGCTTATGCATGTCGTTGAGCTGAAGAAGCAGGGGTAAGCTGAGGTCCCTGATCCTCAATGAGCGGTCAACTCAGGTACCGTCCCTGTAGGCAGCAGCATAACCAATGCTAGCGCGCGGGATGAAAAGAGCCTCTAGAGAACAGACTTTGTCTCCCCACGGAATGGGCACGATAAAAACCACTATATTTGGGGTAATAAACACTAATGGAATTGACAGCCAATTGCTTCCGGTCCAATTGGTCACTTCTTACTCCGAACTTCGGATCAGGGTTTTGCGCAGTCCGCGCGTCCTCACCTGTATGTCGAGGTGAGGTGAGGTGAGGTGAGGCAATGACAAACTTAGAACTTGCGGTGTCAAGGTATGCTTTTTGCAACCTCGGTACTTCGGGCGCTTCAATGCAACCCGCGTCGACTGTATCACGCGCCAATCCATTACAGTCACATCAGACCATTGCCGCGAAAATGTGACGCGATGCCATTGCCATGACAAAAGATTGTGCCGCGGCACAATGATAGCTCACTAGAAAGCAGAGATGATTAGGTCTTTTGTTATTGTTCAATTAAAACTAACTCAGCTTGCAGCAGGCATGCAGCTGTGAATTCTCAAGAGTAACGAATGCTACAGGTTGACTGCTCCGATGTAACAGAGGTCGCATTGATGTTCTGCGAGGTGTGAGTAAATGTAAATGCCATCCTTCGGACAGGATGGAGTGAATATTTGGCATTGAGCTATCGAGTAATTGTCCGCCAAAAGATAAAGCGTTGGGCATGTTATGAGCAACCTTTGCAATCACGGCTGGATGTAATATAGGTAAGGTAGTCAAGGTTTCATCCCTCCTGCGGTCTGCTACAAGTTTTGAAATCAGAGCTCGCGATTGTCTGACGACAGAGATTGAATGATCGTGAGACTCGATTGTGCAACTCAGTATACATCAGACGATGTCGACCAGCTCTTCGTAGACATACGCTATTTTCTTGTCAATGTGAGCGAGTCACCAGAGCTGTAGCAACCATCTGGCTGCACATTCGTAAGGAAACCAACCCGGGTCTTACCAGATACCATTCGATTCGCAGCATGTCTTAACTCTACGTCTAGCCTACCGGATCAACGGCTGGATATAGACTCACCAATGCCTGATTCCTTCGTAAAAGTCAGCCATCTTACGGCTGGACTGCGACGGTCCGATGCACCAACCCGCATTGTAGCCCGTCCCGCCACGTCTAAGTGGTTGGTGGAGAAATGCATGTCTTTGATCGTCCTCCCGCGCAAATCCCGTGTTTCCAGGTCCGACATCCGATTCGCCCTACCTTACTCGGCAATCTCAACCTAGTCAGCCATGCGGTGATCTACGATGGGGCTGAAATCTTCGAACTCTATGTGTTCAGTCCTCAGATATCTCGCCTGGGAGAGCCAGAACATTTGAAGCCTCAACCTTAAAGGATGGAGGCCAGTTAGCAATAGATCAGGAGGCTCTCTGTTGTGTTTATTTTGGCATTACCTTTACGAGATCCAACGGTTTCCTGCTCCCGGAGCCCTTTCCAATACACCCGCTCATACTTTACGCAAAAGGCTCCTTGCATGTGTCTCAGACTCAGTGGTGACACAAGAAAACATGTACGATTCATCTTACTCCAGCCGTTTCGTTGCCTTGACTCATTCTGTATACGCCAAGAGACCATCAAGAATTGGATTTGATGCCGTTCTCAGATATCGGAGTGGGGAGATCCTAAATTAGCTGAAACATGGCCAATAGACTCTACGACTTCAGAATCCGCCACGGAGCAGGATGATAGCCCTCACAAAACTAGGTTTTGCTGCCACGGAAAGACTAACAGAGACCTGAGAGCTTATGTCCCGGTAGAACCATATGCAGATGGAAAGGCTCATGTCCAGATCATAGCAAGGTTGAGCTCAAGGAGATTTTGCTCATAACGAAAAGTTGAAGAGAAAACAAAGGACAACGATGAGAGGGCCGGCCATTTATAAGTATAGGGACTTTCCATTGTTCTCGTCAACTCACAATCATTCTAATCATTGAGTTTAGGTATCTCACTGAGTGTCTCCCATTACTAATTCTTACACTCGCTTATCACGAACAACCAATATAGAAATCCCCGTCATCTACGACCTGGCTGCACTTTTCTGTGCTTTCAACGTCAACCCTGACTGCGTCGAAGGTCATCGTGAGACAATTACCCAAGCGATGTCGTGGAATTCAAGTGCAACATGTATCGCAGAGCACCACTCGCAAGAAGATTGCCTCGGCCAAAGTCTGCCCTCTGTCAGGCTGCTGTTGTCGAGGCCTGCTCATATCAGCCTCCCTTCGAAAATTGCATTATCTCCAAGCCTGACGGAGAAGATCGCACCAGATCAGACGTTATCTACATGGCAAAGGTTGAGATCGACGACCTCTTCGTCGAGCCTGATCCTTTGGCCGAGACCGATGCATAGGCCAAAGAAGCTTGCCTTGTGCGATAGGCTGCTCTCGAGTATGAGCTGCCCGATTCCAAGGCTACCGTCGCTGCCTAATGTTCGGGATCTTCAACCTCGAGCTGTGCTCAATGCGGTACCTTGGGAAAGACTGATTTGTGTCATTTCCCTCGGCGTCTGAAGCAACTATGTAGTCGCTTGCAAGGCCGGATGCGCTGTTGTTAGAGACGGCACGACATGTCGTTTCTACGCCCATGATGGAGGAAGTCCTGATGCTTATCTTCCCTACTACAAGCACATTGGGGACTTAGAACCCGCTGGTAGTTTCAAGGTTGGAGGCGCATGGAGCTCATGGGATAAGGAGTGTCAAGAAGGCATCAATCTCTGAAGACACTCTACGGGGCATCTACGGCATTAGGGCTAAGGTACTACGGAGTATTATTACATGGCTCCAATGTCGTTGCACCTTGGTCGAACTCGTTATTTCGAAAGTTGTGCCATCTGTAGTAGTGATTGTATGATAGGCAAACGATTTAAGAAGTCCACCGTTGCTGACGAGAACAAGAAAATAAACGCTATCGAATGTGATCAGACCCATTGACAATCGACGCCATGTCTCATTATTATGTGATATTATTAGGCCTTTCTTCGGTATACTGTATGCCTTTTTATTTCCAGCTATTCAGCTCGTTCCTACCACGACCCTTCGGAACCTTCTCTGCTCCTGCTACTACCGCCCTTCTTGTCTTCATGAATTACTTCAACCACATTCGAAACAACAATCCCTTTCGACGTGCTATAATCCGTCAAGTCGTTCATACGATGGGCTTCTGCCTTGACAATCCTTTCCTCGCTATTATTGAATGACATATTCGCTGATATGGGATTTGCGGTCAGAGGTCCTCGTCGGCTCGGGTCGTTGCTTTTGCCGCTTCGCCCCCCTCCACCAATTGTCTGAAACCCGGAAGGATATTGATAGGACGTCTTGTGAGAGGAGCGCAACACACTTCCGAAGATTGGCGTGAGCCAGACTCTGAAGAGCGGAAAGAGGATCGGTAGATTGGTTGTCATTACGGCGACAAAGGCTTCGCGGGTGCCCCAGCTTCCAGCAAGCTCGGCTCCATGAACGGGATCCTACATACTAGAGTTAGGTCACTGTATCGGAGAAACAAGATTTAACAGAGAACGTACCACGAGGACGAAAACACTCTTCAAGGTTGCGCAGACAAGCACAAAGATACCGGCCCCAAGCACGATCGTAGAAGCGATCTTCTTGATCGTTTTCAAGCTCGAGCCCCAAAGCATAGGGAGGGGGATTGCGATAAGATAGATATCAGTTGAGATGTTGGCTGCGAATGAGACCCAAACAATAGGTTTGGAGATGGCTGGCTGACAAGAGTCTAGAATGAAGAGTTAGTACGCACATGTGCTGTCAAGACTGTGATACTCACTGCCGGGATCCGGGTTGATCTGCCAGTATTTGTGGAATGGTTGACAGCCAGCAAATATAGCTATCATAGTCGCAATGAAAGTGCCGATGACAAGGCCGAAACCCACGTATATCCGGATGCGATAAGGTCGGCCAAGTCCCGTCTGGTCAAAGTTAGATGTGTTTCTTTGTGATTAGTTCGAGGCTTCATACCGTCAGACGAGTATAGAAGTATAGCATGGACAGCTTCAAGGACCAAATAAGAGCGGAGTATATGGTCCAGCCGGCGACCTGAATCTTGGAACCAATTATTCTGGAACTTCCAGTAAGTAACGAGTTGAGAGATGAATGGAAGTACACTACCGACCGGTAGTCATATTCTGGGTCGCTGGGTGACAATGCCGCTCGCTGAGCATCTGTTATCCCATTGTTCGCGAGACCATGGGCAAGGATCCCGATATTGTATGCAAGAGTTGTCTGGATTGTGTAAAAGGCCTGCTGAAGTCAATATCCAACTAGTGTCCACAGAGCTTGATGGGAACTCACAATGGAAATTGCCATGAGATAGTCTTCAGCCTGCAGACTCCTAAAACCGTCCACTCTCATACGAGCATAAAATCTGAGGATCGTTGATGCGACGCCAACCGCATACAGCGTCCAACCTTCGACGACAGGGTCAGACATCTTCAGAACCAACAAAAGTATCAGAAGCAAAAGAACGGAAGAAAGGAAGAACAGAGATCAGCGGCCCATGGGCCTGGGTCCTGGAAACTTCGCCCCATAAGTAAGTCGGTAGGGGCCTGAATGCACAGAACCTTTTTCTCTTCCACTGAATCACAAGCTTCCCAGAATCTGCACCCCTGAGATTAGACTGCACATGCTACCAGGAAGTCTTAGCTAAAGGTGTCAAAAATAAGTTCTCTGATGGCCCGCTCAGTAAGAGTATTCTTGCCTCATTCTTTTTGTCATCGGGACAGCCTTGGGTTCTCTTGCCTCCCCTGGCCATGCTAGACATGCAATGTTCAGTTGGATGGTGCTCGGGGATAGCTGGAAATATTGGGGACCGAGCCGTACCTGACGCTAATCAGTACAGTAGCAGGGCAAAGTCTGGCTAGCTCATGAAGAAAATGACGCGCCAAGAGTTGAATGGTAAAGCCTGTGATACGGCAAGCTACGGCTGAGAACGCCACGCACGTAATGAGCAGTAACCGTAATCCTGCAATCCATGGTAATTTGGTTGACATGTTCCCTTTTGGCTGATACATGCATATGAGATCTCAGTTAAATCTGATGTGGCGCTGTCGATACTGCTTCGACAATCTGGGGAGATGTTTGAGATACCTTACTCTGGTACAATCTCAGATCTGATTTCCACTTCTGACAACACCTCGCCTCGACGATCATTTCTTCTTCGTTCCTAGCATTCGGGCAATTCACAAGACAAAAGGTCCCAGTACCCACTGACTTTCGGGAGCCTCGGTAGGCCTCCGGCCTCCTACAAATCGATGCTGATGGCTCTAAGATTGCACTCAGATCATGTACAGGAACCCGATTGGACAATTGCATCTTTGGGATCAGCAGCCCAGGGAATAAACCCCCGAAATAAATACTGGGTTTCAGCTAAAAGTCAAGGATTTTCCGCGCCGGTACCCGTTCCGCGGGTACTAAAATGGATCCATGTCCGCGCTATGACTTCGAGATATTCGATCGGGTCGTACCAGAATCTCCGTTGTCCTGTGACAAGGTGGAGGAACTAATATGCAGACTACTGAACGAAGAAGGTGGCTATGGACATCAGCAAGGATATTGGGGATAATTTCCCTTTTTCTTGTCAGACCTCGGCTGCAGGAATGAGTTAGGGGAATTTGTCAGGGATTGGCTTTTCGGGGTAACGTTGGCCGATGGCACAGAGCAAGAAAAAGGCGAATCAGGCAGGTTAAATATGCACCAGGACCTCGTCGATCCTTTATCTGGAAGGGGTTCTTTGATCTAAGGGTCCAAATTGTGTTTTGTATTTGCACGTGGTTACTTACAATGCATTTCTCAAGTAAAGTCTTTGCTGCATTGACAGCTTGGAGCACCGCTGTCACATGTGCGACCACTCCTTTTGCTCGTAGCGATGCCATTGGGACATGCTCAGAAGACCTGAGCCAGCTTGGTAAGAAGTTATCCAAGTCGGCCAAGGTCTACTGTCCTGGATCTGCCGAGTTTGAGAAGGCCACCACTCGTTGGTCCGTTCTGGATGCCCCCAAGGTCAATATCGTTGTCGTGCCTGGTACAGAGAAGGATGTCGCCACGACCGTAAGTGTTTCGTATCTAATCGCTGGTAGAAAATGCTAATGACTACTTCTCAAGGTCAAATATGCCAACTCCAAGAGCCTTCCATTCCTCGCGTACAACACTGCTCATGGAGCCATCACCACTCTGGGCCGCATGGACCACGGTATTGAGATTTATCTCAGCCAGCTGAACAAGGTCGAAGTCGCTGCTGACGGCAAGACGGTTACTATTGGTGGCGGTACAAGGTCCAAAGAAGTCACCGACACACTTTGGGCTGCCAACAAGCAAACCGGTACGTTTTGCCGTTTTCCTCTTGTCAGTGATGACGTGCTAACCGCTATCAGTGACCGGAACATGTGAGTGCGTTAGCTATATGGGTCCAGGCCTTGGTGGTGGACATGGCTGGCTCCAAGGCCATCACGGTATCATCGCAGATCAGTGGGTCTCGCTCAACATTGTCTTGGCTGATGGATCGTTGAAGACCATCGATAAGAAGTCCGATCTTTGGTGGGCTCTTAAGGGTGCTGGTCACAACTTTGGTATTGTGACTTCCATCACTTCCAAGGTGTATGAGATCCAGCACCAAGACTGGGCAATCGAGACACTTGTCTTCAGTGGCGAACACGTTGAGAAGTTGTATCGTACTGCCAACAAGCATCTCCTTCGAAAGCAGCCCGAGGGCGTCATCAACTGGTCCTATTGGGTCCATGATCCTACTGCGGACCCCGAAAACGTAAGCTTCTGACGCCCATACATTGTTTTGATCTAAGGCTAATGTTTGCAGCCTGTCATCCTCTTCTGGCTCATCCAGGAAGGCGTGAAGAGCATCGATCCCAAGATCTCAAAGCCTTTCCACGATCTGAACCCCATTGCCATCTCTCCTGAGTCTGGAAGCTACCGTGACCTTGCCAGGTGGACACAAATCGATGTCGATGCTGTCCCATGCCAGAAGAATGGTCTTGTCAACCCTCGTTTCCCTCTCTACCTTCAAGAGTACAATGTCTCCGCCATGAAGAACGCATGGAACCTCTTTGCCAAAGAGACAGGACCTGATACCCCTTTCAACACTTCTATCTTCATGTTTGAGGGTTACTCCACCCAGGCCGTCCGTGGCACCAATGCTAAAAGTGCTGCTTTCGCCTTCCGTCAGGAGAACATCCTCACTGCTCCTTTGATTACATACAAACCTGGTGATGCTGAACTTGACAAGAAGGCTGCCTCTGTCGGTAATGAGCTGCGTCATATCCTTCACAGAGCTTCTGGCCAATATCACATGAGCGTCTATGTTAACTATGCTTTTGGCAATGAAGAT